GAAAGCAGGGAGATCTTGTTGCCCCTTGATCCACACCATCAAGAGCAGGACGAAGGACGATGTGAGTTTTGCCCAGCAAAGGGAATCAGCTTTGCCCCAACACTTCATGGCACAACTGTACTGCTCCATTTGGCAACGTCTGTGTCTACCCTTAGTGCCAAGACCTCCTCCGTCACACTCGAGAGTCCCCACCCTCATGGCAGCAACATTTACGGAAAAAGTGTGGCTATTATGCACATAAATAACGTAACCAGTACTGACCAGAGAGACTGGGTGCTGGCCAGTCTACCTGTCTGCCCGGTACAACAACTCCTATATCCCTGTTACTTGCATAGATAGGCAGCTTGGTTTTCTGGCTTGGGATTTACAGTTTCTCTGAATTCAAAGCCTCCTACAGTTACGGCTGTATACCTTACAGACATTAACATAGAAACAACTGTGTTAATCCCTTACACAGAAAGGTACTCAGAACCACATTCCTTGTGAGGATGGATTTCAGCATCTTGAATTCCATCCAACGCAGTGGGTATTATATACTCCCCAAAATTTTAATCAGCAAGCTGTGTCAACACTGGTGGAAGAAAGAATAGGTCGCTCCAAGCTCTCTCCTTTGGCTCAGACAGGACCACGAGGATCCAGCAGCCTGTGGTACTAAATTCATTGTTCTAGTTTCCATCGCACATTTCCTCGTGTCCCCTGCCCTGACGCCCCTGATGGTTTTCAGTTGCATTGGCCCCTGTGCATTATGCTCATCACCATTTCCTCACCTTACTTTTCTATACTTTCAAACCCTTTTACTGACACCAACATGATCTTTCAAGCTTTCTATTTCTATCACCTCTTCTCTCCACTGCTTCCCATTAGTGACTCACACTGTCCTCTCCTCTCTTCAAACCCATTAAGTTTACCTTCACCTAAGGATCACCTGGAAATTGCAAGAAGTGCTCAAGCCAGACAGGACAGCTACAAGTTCTTTACTGTGTAACATTGGTCCTCTCCACTCCCCCCAGACACCTATTGTCTTCCTTTAAAGTTAAGACTAATTTCAGATTTCATGGTCTGTTGGCAATAAAATACCATGTATTTTTTTTTTTTTTTTAAACAGAAAACTTGTTGGAAACAGCATAAACTACACTATTTGAATACTGTCCCAAGGGTATAAACACAGGGACCATGCAACCCTAAAGAAGTAGCCCCGAAACCAAAGAATACTCGCCCACTCTAGGAATCCAGAGTCCAGACGAGCTACGCCAACAGAAGAAAGCCATGCGGTTCGTCAGCCACGCCTATATACAGCTGAAGCGGGAGGCGGGAAGGGCGGGGGAGGCAGCGGAGGAGGCAGAGGCGGAAAGAGGGGGGGAGGCAGCGGAAGCTGCAGAGGCTCTCCACACCAGTGGCAGACAGCGCTGGCAAGAAGAGGGAAGTCCCGATCAGACAGGGATGCCCCCAGGCAGCAGAAGCTGTAACAAGCCTTCACGCCGGTCACGGGCAGTACCGGCATGTGGGAGGAAACGCCGCTCAGGAAAGAGCAGGGAGAAGCCCGGGGATGGAAAAGACTCCCGGTGATGGGCACTCAGAGACTGGGTCAGGGGACAAGAGCTGACCCAGAGAAAAGTGGAGGGAGCACAGCCAAGGTAGAGGGCGGGATGGCGTCAGAGGACACTGCCAAGCACAGGCTCCAGTGCAGGCAATATATCAAGGCAGTCCAGTCTGATCTCTTTGTTTTCCTTTACCAGCCTTTATGTTCCTTTTGCGTGTCCATCTGTTCGTTACCATCTGGCCTGGCCACATTCTTCTTTTGTCATTTTCTTTGTCTGTTGGTTTATTTTTAATTCTTTGACATCTCGGTGCTGAGGAGCCCGAACAACAGCGGAAGCTCAGGAGCCACTCACGAGAACTGACAAGCAGCAGGCCCTGGACGAGAGAGACCCGTAAGAGAGAGGAACGCCCAACGGGCCCGTAGTCCGCCAAGGTAGCTGGTGAAGACCCGAGCCCTGAAGGTGGGCAACGAGTAAGGACCATCGCGACCGGGGGGCTAGCCGTATCAAGATCAGGTGGCCCGTCAGAGGATGGCATATGGCTAGGGTATAGGAGAGGTGGAGCCCCATGAATATCCGTCGGGAGGAACAACCAATCTTGAGGGACCGCCAACGGGAGACACGACCACTGGAGAAACATTCAAAGTCGTGGCAGGCAAGTTCTGGGGCTCTCTCTAGGGTGATCGGGGTCCCTGTCTGAGGTTGCACAAAGCCTCCCCGCGCCTGTCATTAGGTGCACGCGCCAAGGCGGCGTGTGAACAAATATTCGAAATGAGATGGGCACAAATACACGCGTACAAAACATTCCAAGAAGCAAGCTTTGCCAGCAGTTGTGATTATGATGAGAGAGAGATGGTTGAATTCAAATGGCTGGCTACCCAAACTTCTCTCAACAATAAGCAATGTATAAATGCTTCAGAGAGTCATGACGAGGCTGAAGAATCCTGTGCAACACACTCTCTTCCCACCAGACTATGAAGGTGTGAAATTTAATAAATGTATTGCTGGGTGGTCTTCTTGGGGAAAAGCTTCATCTAAAAGGTATATCCATCCTGGACTTTAATCTATGCACAATCAGGCTTGGGCTCAGGTAAGTCCTACTTAAAAGTGCCTAACAAGCCAAGATATAAAATGCCAACCACAGGATAAAGAGAAGATGGGAAGAGGAGAGTATCATGTCACTATGCTGTAAGTAGTGCTGAAATACGGTGTAAAATGGAAGCTCTAAGCTTATTTACATTGCAAAGGCCTTCTCACTCTAAATGACAGTTGAGCTATGTTTTTGTCCTTCAATATTGTGCAGAGGCACTTTCACACCTTCTTCAGAAGCTATTTTCTAATTCACTTAAAGATAAAGCAAGCACTTGATGTTGAGATCATTGCTTTAAAAAAAGGAAAGCAGCTTATAGTAGAGCTTTAAAGATATTTACATAACCATAAACCCAGTAAATGCAGACATAGCAATCCTGCAAGTCAGCTGCTCCAGCTCCCAGCAGTTAGGATTCTAAATCTGGGCTGGATTCTTCTAAACTGCAATGAAAAAAGCCATATGTTCTCCCACAGGACTAGTTCATCTGAACACACAGTTCCCAGAGCTTCTCTTTCTCAAATAAAGAAGTTTTACCCTACTGTAGAGAGAGGCAGACAACCATGTTAGTCTCAAGTTAGGTACAAGGCAGTTAGTTTATAAGGTGGCATTCTGGCCTGCCTCCTGCCATACTATAAAGATAAGAGAGGCAACACTAGGGTTAGAGTTGTCTGCACTGCAGTTCAAAGCTGTGGCTACAGCTCACACAGACCTATTGGTACCTAAGCCAGCTTCAAACTAGATAGCTTGAGTACTGATTGCCCATGCCACCACCGAGACCTCTAACTGCCAACTACGTAGCTAGGGTCTGAGCCAGGTTTAGAAAGTTCATGATAAAGCCCATTCTACTGCAGCTGGATGCTACCAGTTTAAAGCTAGCTAGCATATAGCTATACACATTGCAGCCAAACCTTTGGACTGCAGCCTAGACATGCGCTTAATTGCAGAAAAGTGCTTTGGAAGAAGTCTACTGATTAGCACAAGTACAATATGCCAAAGTGAGCTCAAACGGGGAAAGGAAAAAGAGAAAGCAGCTCTCCACTCACCAGTAAAACATAAGCATTGCCCATATAAGTAGATACAGAAATGCTTAGCACTGATCAAATTACAAAGATACCTGACTGCAGGGGGATATCTGTAGACATTTACAATATTTCAGAAGCCATAATAATTATTAGAAGTATATACTGATATTATAGTAGTGCCAAAA